TGACAATCAATGGGAGATTATAAATATCAACAAAACTTGTAAGAGTAGAAGCTAGGCGTTGTGGTACAGTATAATTCTATATAAGTTAGGTAAGCTGGTTCAATATAGTACATACCAATACAGTATTCTTTACTCCATAACGTTTCCACATCACGATTTAAGACTTGCATACATATCCAATGAATACAAACTCATATACTATAGAATGTCAAGACTTGTGTACGTTTCCCTTCCTTGTATGTCATTTCTCAATAACTTCTAGAGAAAGTATCAATATACATGTCTGCAACTCACATTAGCTGATGAGCATGTACTTAGTGTATAGCGGTAAATAAGCTTAGAAGTCATCCCTACTTTGTACGCCAAACACATATTGAATAATGGACCAAAAATAATGATGTTGGTTTACAACTTGAGACACAATGGGTAAGATTAGTAGTCGGAAATCGAGGTGCAATCAGCAATCACGTGCATATTCATCCAGCAAGCAATCAACTGTGTAGTTACTCAGACCTCAATAAATGAACCGGGATTCAAACCCATAGTTAGGTGGTTCGTAAACAACAGTGGTTCATCAACCAATCCATAAAACTGTTCCATAACTCCAAAGTCATGAAGATCAATGCATGATGATACTGACTGAAATTACCTAGTATGCTGCTAAAAATACTTCTGAGATAGGAAATCCAAAACACCGAGCTCTACATGACTAACTAGTCTGATATCCTAACAACAGAGTGACGAGTTCTGACTGCTTACCATGTCCTTAACCAGAACAGAAAACTGTCACAGTCTCATTATTATCATTTAAAAGTAATAATTTCTGCGTAGTGCAAGAAAGATGATACTTTTGTAAAATATCTAATCTAATCAACAAAATCTATGAATGTGGGCACAGAAGAATCATCACAAATCGAACTTGAAGACCTGATTCCTGTCACACGCTAACTTAAAAACTAACGTCTCACTCCAGTTAATTAAAAATCTGATGAAATTTTACACATCTAATGACAGCATGTATATATATATGTACGTATACCTTTGCCCTATTCACTCTTCACTCTTATATCATAAAGTGTGGTCAGATGAATACAGAAGTTTTTCATGCCTTTTTTCTAAGTGTTTTTTTTTGCTAACATGTCAAGAATCTAGGCTAAAGCTATTTTACTCTTAAATCATATGATCCGTTCCATGCTTAGTTCGTGTATAAAATATTTAATGAATGAGTCTACATTTACTTTGGTCTATAATAAAAAACAAAAGCGAAAAAGAATAAAATATGCACTATTTACTCAATTTGGCTTGTATGCAAAAGTTTAACTTCTTAAAGAGAATAGATTGAAATCAAAAACACAGAAGACGATAACTCCCTTGAAAACATTAGTGAAGTACGTGTCAAGAAGAATGTATATCAAGTTCACATAGTATAAATAAACTCAGTTGTATCGTATGAACACTACTTTCCAAAGATGGATGGAGTTATAGCCCAACATGACCAAATATAAGCAGAATTCAACTTTATCATTTACACTGTAGTACATTAAACAATGTACAAAAACTCAATGACTTAAAATAACGTAGATGTATTGAGAAGTAAAAGCTAAGCAGAATGTTTCAAAAACGTTGGTTTAAGCATTGCTTAGTAAGGAAAAGTTCAAGATAGCAAGCAATTCGGCTTTAATTTTCTATTCTTCGCCCCAGAACTCAAACTATGAAGTCGTTCCTGCTGTATCCATAATCTCACATTCAGCATTTTAAGAAATCAAGGAGATACACACATGTTGAACACCAAATACTCAAGTAAATTATGCTGTAAATCTCAATGGTGAAATGATATGGTCAAAAAACTAGGTAGTGAACCATTACAGTTAATTGGAGTTACTTTCAATGCATAAGGTGACAACTGACGGGAAGCTACAACACTAATATCCTGAAAACGTCATGTAGTCAAACTAAACACAGATTGAAACAGATATTCTAGATTCTATGGATGATTATGAGATTTTAAGTATCAAGCGCGGTATCATTTGTCGGTTTTTTTCAACCATCTATCGATCAAGAAATCACTTAGATGTTTTATACAAGTTTAGTACCTATTACAAAAACTTTTGACCATTACAACAACAATAACCTTCAACCGTTGTTAATGCATTTAAACCCTAACCAACAATAAACGACCTTCAAATTTGAACAGCCCTTTTAATCATCTCTGTGAAAATGGCCGTATGTTGTACAGTTATTCAACGAAACAACATCAAAATAGTGAAAATAATCACACATTCATCTACTTGAAATTATTTTAGCAAAGTTATCAAGGTTAATTTTTACAAAATGAGAAGGCGGAATTACGAGTGTACAGTATCCTATTAAGTTCAGCTGGACAACGATGTTTCATCAGAGACATTGAAACCAGCTGTTTACATAGTAGAAAAAAAGGATATCGACAACTATGGCTAGATGAATCTGCTTTAAAACAAACAAACAAACAAACATCGCACAGAATCTGAAGGACAAATATTTTAGGAGCTTTCTTGGTATTTTGTTTCACTGTACTGAGGCCGATACAATGTTGAATAATAAAGTACTTGTTAAGAGTATTTTAAAACATGACGTGGGAACTAGCAAATTATCTGCATAAAAAGCCAGTCTAATTAAGACACTGTTTAACCGTTATCTCCATCCTTTCCAAAATTTTCAAAGCTAAGAAACCTTTCTGTATTATTGAATTGTAATACCAGTGTATATCGACTGACGCTGAAATTCATAATAGACATATCTGATGAACAAAACTTTCAAAAATATATATACAAGGCAATAAACTTCAAACTCTATTTGACGTTTTAGGAATGGTGAAATAAATACTGGAGGTTATGATGAAAGCATCATGAGATCTTTTTTCTCAGACTTCAAAAGTGTAAGTGAATTTACAGTCGATTTCAATCAATAATTAAAACACTAAGGATTAAAGAACGAATATGCATTGTACAAAGAATGAATGATATGATCTCAACTATATACACATATAATTACGCAAAGGTGGCATGCACACATATTTACATATATTCACACACACAGAGTATAAAATCAATACAGGCGTGTATACACACATAAATTAGACTGGTAAAATGGAGGTTAAATCAAATGATTCGAGGACATTCTAAGGTCAAGCAAACAAGGTCAAGGGTAAGTAGTACACACTCACAAAAAGTATGCACGTGATATACATGAAATCGAAAGAAGGTTTTCTCCGTGTAAATTATGAAAATATGAATACACACGCAGACACGGTCAGACTTATATTTATCACACGCACATATAAACATAAAGTACAATAAATCGTTAAATAGTGTCAACATCAGCTATAATAGGCCAGTACATACCAAAATTGAATACTTTATGAATAAACTGACTACTAAACGGTGGTATGTGCACAAACACACACACAATCACATTTTGGTGAACTAACAATATATATATATATATATATATATATATATATATATATATATATATATACGTATGCCAAAATAAGGTCAAATGAAATTAGTCTAGGTTAATAGTGAAATGTATGAACTTAATACATGAATTATTATTACTATTATCACAATTATTGATTAAATATCCTTATAAATCAGTTTCGGGAGTTGAATGATGATAGTCGTATCAGCTGGAGATTAATATATATACTGGTGGAATAGAAGTAAATGAATTTTATAGGCGATCATATGGTTTATAGTAGTGTATGAACTATATAAAAAAGCGCACTTATAATACACTAAACTACCGTTTAAAACTGAGGTTATAATATGCTTCAATCATATAAAAGAGTTAGTATTTAAAGAGCTGTACTTCATCATTACTATTAATGTTGAAACAATAGTGCTCAATGCAAGAATTTTCAGAGAAAATTTAAAATTGTTGATATTCCTTACTGTTTAAAATCTATATTAACAGAAGTTAATTCAGATACTATTCGTTTAATACTTATCTCTCTAGGAAAACGCTTTTCTAATAACACTAGGCCAATGGTACATCAAACTTTTCAGTTCCGAAAGTCTTCTACGTGGCACTCAACTCATAAAACAAGAATAACATCTGAGACAACCTTCTGAGACTGAAATCTATTGAACAGTTGGATTCCATAGTTCAGGCAGTAGAGCATGAAGCTGGTTGGAATCGTGTCACTATCCGGGTTTCATAAGCGAAAAATAGACCCAATTCAGAAGCTGTTTCATTTTACCAGTAGACAGTTTAGTGAGTGGTTAATCAATTAACTGGTCACTCATGAAAGTTAAACGGCCGCTTAAATGATTTGTATTTGTTGATACTACAATCCGTGACAGACTCACTTCATCAGACTGATCTGAATGTGCAAAGATCATGAACGAATATGAAACAAAATCTAGATGAAAACAAGATGTGAACAGTTGAACTGCAGGTTACCGGTGCGGGTATTGTTCTTACTTCAATCACAGTCCCTCCTCACCCCCAACCCCCAATTAATATCTTTTTAAGAGCTGAATCTACTTGGACACAAAAGTAGCAATATATCGCTAGAACTCTAACAGTGAACTTGGATAATGATGAACTGCAACAAGTGGGGGGTTAGCTGGTTGCACAGTTTTCATTCCCATTCAATAGTCGATTTGTTGAAAGTTTAATGGACTTTATACATTACGCAAACGCATATGTAACTGAGCACGTATTTCCGAGTTCATACAACAGGTGAACAATCACATCTACTGTTAGACAGCTCATGACAACTTGGTAAGTGGAGTGGAGTTAGAAAAGTTGTGGTCTACTGGTTGAAAGTCCATAGGATAATTCAATCAGTCATTAGCAGTACTCATTATGCAAAACATACCCAACTCAGTAAAAGCCTTTCCATTACCAGCTCCACTTTATCAAATACTTTATCCAAATTAACTAATCACATTTTTAAAATGGGGCAGTATCATAAGCCAAGGAAAGAAAAGTAATAATGAACACTCAAAACCTACCACGATCTGTATCGACTGGTTCAGCACATTCGGACAAGTTTTCCTCCAAATTATTCGCAGTACTACTGTTACTACTGCTGCTTCTTTTTCTTTTATTAGCAACAGTTGTACTACCACTACTACTCGTGCCACCAGTCTTAGCTTTAATGTCGCAGTCAGTTAAGGTATTTGTTTCACTGTTTGAAGTGCGTTTGCATAATAGCTGGATTAAATTAGTCGACTTGATTGGTGGTGGAGTTGGTATGATTGGTGCATTACTGCTAGGGACAGTAGCAGCTGTTGTAGAAGTAGTACTAGCATTAACAGTCGTAGTAGTAGTGCTAACGTTTGGTGCGCCACTATTCAAACCAAATAACGACGAAGACAAACAGGTGGCAGGTGTAGACGGGATAGGCAAATCAAATGGATTCGGAGAAGTAGTTGACCGAACAACATTTGAAGAATTTGGCTGATGAGCATGAGATCGGTGTAGAAGAAAAGGAGGCTGTGAATGAGAATGGCTGCGGATAGGTGATTTCAAATGTGCATTTGAATTAACTACATCTGCAAGTGCATTGAAATTGTTCACCACGATTTGATCTGATGAACCAAGCATAATTGTCATTAGTGCATTTAACGCTTCTGTCTGACTGTCAGCAGCAGATAATACTGATTTTGATTGATGATTTAGGCCATTGATTAGTAACTGGTTTTCTAAACTACAATGTTGGTCAAATAAATTGACTGTATTCGAACTCTTGCAGAAATGAGATGTTGCATTTTGTTTCGAACCAGGTGGTGGTGTGGTAGTGGTGCTGGTGGTCACTGTTGTTGATGAAAGTGTTTTCAATGGTCGCTTTGGATTGAGTGAATTAAAGTTTTGGCTAGATGCAGAAAAATGCGCTGACTGGTTCTGTTGTTGCAAAGAGTAATGCTGCTGTTGTGACTGTTCAGATTGTTGTGGTGGTGGAGGATTCAGAGTTCCAGCTGCCGCAGCTGCAGCTAACCAGTAGGTATACAGTGCAGCCAAACTACGCCCTTGTTGATTAGATGTAGATGAAGGTAAGGGATTAATATTACTTAAAGCCAGTTTAGTCAGCTCATTCAAATTTAATCCACCTGCATCACCGAACAAAGGCAAAGATTCCTGTTGACTTGACACAGAAGATGGACATATCGAATTGGAGAAAGAAGTCTGAAATTGAAAAAGGAGATGAATAAAAAGAAGCAGAATAAATTTCTGAAGAAAACTCAAACATTATTTACATAAACAAACTAGTCTATTGTGGAAAATAAAGTAACATTTACATTCAGACATATTTCCAACATGTTTGAAATCTTACTTGGTCTATCAATGGTTTCATTTGTTCAAACTCTCACTCGGCTTATTTTCTTACTAAGGCTGACTTCATCTTTCTGCTCTCTGCTCTGTTATGGTGTCTGAGCAAAATTTAATCATTAACGAAACTAACATTCATTACCATCGCGTTCCACTGTAAAGTGCTCATACATAGTTTATAAAAACACCTACTAAACAGTCAAGGAAATAAATAAATCAAGATATTGACTGTCCTGCAATAAGATGAGAGTAATACAGGTAAATACGGACTGTAAGTTCAAACTATGTAGAGATGAGATGGTGGGGTGTGAAAAAAAGATTTATTTTTATTGACGAACCGAAAAACGGAAACTAAAAAACAGTACACATCTTCGAGTTGTTCAGGAATAAAAGAGATAGGTGAATAAAAAGTCAATGGATAGAGGTCTCAGAAACTGGCGAAACTCGACTAAGAAAACTTGCTTTTTTAAAAACCTTTGTGCACGATGCTGCAAAGAGAGCAAAATATTAAAAAGATAAGGAAAGCTTCTAGACTGTGCATCAAGAATTATCGATGTTTCTCAGATGTACACTTCAATGATGCAACTGGAAGATAGTCTAAAATATTTTGAAATTAGAAGCTAAGATGTAAAACTACAAAGAAATCTCCTTGAGGATGATAACTTGTTTGCATGAAATACTTTGTAACCGAATTAACAGAAAACTAACACTAATCTGAGATGCGCACAGTTGAGAAAGAAAGTCTTAGCAATATGAGATCACGCTTTATAACATACAGTTGCAGAAACCACCGACAAAGTAAACACGTTGTCTAGGTGTGTGTAGTAAGCAAGATCTATCATCACATCAACATAACAGATATCAAGTGAGAGGTAAAAAGATTGCACAGTAAAATCTGTATGCACTAAATAAAATATAAATTAAACATTTCAGGCGTTGCGTAATAACAGACATACCATTTTTCGGGAGTAAGACTCTTGTGTTGTACTTCCTTTACTTTCAGACATATCTGATAGTTGTGAAGTAAGAAGAGTGTTTCGATTGATAGGTCGATTGAGATTTGTACTTCCATACTCCGAATCTCGTAGACTGGATGCAAGACAATCTTCTAAACTAGTACCATAAGTAGACAGGTTACTAGAGTAAGATGCATTGCCAGTACTGTTACTACTAATCACTGAGGCAGCTGTTGAACGTTGATTGCTGAAGGAAAAAGCTGACGTAGGTAAACACATCACAGGAAGGGGGGATGGCAGTGCAAGGGGATGTGTTACAACCTGAGGAGAGTGACACAATCCAGGTGTAGATTTAGATCCTAATTGATTCGGAGTTACACAAGGCTTAATATCCTGTTGCAGGCAAGATGGTTGGTTAGAATCATTCATTTCAGTTTCTCCCATTGCAGCAGAATTTGAAGAAGTTGATGATGAAGATGAAATATCACTTAAAGCAGAATTCCTACTGGTTCCTGTGAACTGATTCTCATTCAAATGCTTTGATGCTAAACTTCCCACTATGGTTGCTGTTGTATTCGCCGGCAATAAGCGATACGAATTCGATGGAGAATTACTACATGATAATTGACCGTCTTCAGATTTTTGTGCAACAATTTCGCGATTATTATTAGCATTATTAATTTCATCTTCAGCTTCTTCTGAATTAGGTTCACTTTTGTAAAAGGTATGTTGAGATTGTGACGAAGTATTACGGATGTTGGTATTTGATGTCAGAGCAGTAGTTATTCCATTAGATGTTGCATTATTGCTACTGACATTGGCAGTAGTAGTAGTAATAGTAATATTAGAAGTAGTTGTTGTAGTATTAATGCTAGAATTAGGTGAACCTCTACCATTGGCATTACTACTAGCATTAGTAATGCTATTGGAGTTACCCGAATTATCGGACAAGAAGTTTAAAGCAAATGTATTCGTAGGTCTACGTTCATTTTGCACAGCTTCTGAACGCATTCCAACAGCTAGACATTTTTGAAGTCTACAATATTGACAACGGTTTCTATAGGCTTTATTTACAAGACAATTTTGTTCACTACGACATACATAGCTGACATGTCCACGTATTGAACGTTTAAAAAATCCTTTACATCCTTCACATGACACAACACCATAATGTCGTCCTAGAAAAAGAAGGAAACACAAATGGGTTATTTTTATTAGTTACACATACAGAAAGGCAGTAAATGCAAGTAAAGTTCTGACTGATTATTGTTACTGAGTTTGAGTCTTTGCTTAAACACACACGATCTGCTGGAATATGGCTTTATCCTACTTATAAGTCTTTAGATAACGAGAAACGTGTGTCCAGAAGATTAACCAACTTAATAACACTTAACTTAACTGTTCCGTCATATACACCAAGTTAACCTATTGACAGTCATTCTCAATCAACCTCGATGCAGTAGCAGCTCACAGGCAATTGTATTATTTTGGGTTTAACAGATACGAAGAAAGAAAAACAAACTAGAAAAGGAAAATCAGCGTGAACAGGAAGAAAAAGGCAAAGCAAAGAGAGTCTATTTCTAAGCAATTCCATCTTAGGCGGGAACGTTCAGAAATAGCTACATATGCCTGTAAAAATTTAAAAGCATCTTTCAAGGAATAAGTGATAGCTATATAGAAGTATTATAAACAATCCTCTTTGTTGACAAACTAATAAATTATCACTGACTATCTCAAAATGGCCGTGGTCTGGCAGACTGTCTCAGATAGTCAAAATGATAATCAATATGGTGCTCACCGCCTTAATTCAGCTCGATTTGAATTGGGATGAGAAGTCTTGACTGGGAAGCCAGTGAATGATCAAGTGGTAATAAGGTGTCACAAATCCACACGGCATTCAGGAAAAACTCTTGGTGACTAAAGTGAAATAAAATTCTGGTCAGTAGTTGGGTCTCGCAGCTCAGTTAGCAGAGCACCGAACCGGTGGTGATTCGAAATCCGCTGTGGCCCAACTTTCCGTCCCACCTTTCAAACATCACCTAGTATGAAAACTAATAAATGATAATAAACTGATCCATATCAAAATAGGATCAGACGAAGATAGGCTACTAGTGAGAAACGGTGTGAACAAATAAGAGAGAATAAGGTGCAGATAAATCGATGAATAATATCTGAACAATAACAGCGTAAAATAGCGACAGCAACTAGGTCTATCAAATTGACTGTGCTTTTTTAGTGCGCACACACACACACACACACAGAGGAAAGATCGTAAGAATTCTGATGTCAAAAATAAATTGCTATCACAAATCATGAATCATATTTATTTCGTTAATGAACAGGTCAAACGAGTTTAATTTACACGTTTATTTTTTGGATTACATTATCTATTCTTTGAGTGACTGTGAATAAATAGGTGAGGTATAAAGTTTAATTAGTTTGATACAGTTTAAATCAGAGATACACATGTAAGTGAACTTTAATCACTATCGAAACAGTGAATATTAACATAGGCTTAGTATACTGCGTCAATACACAATTATGCATTGTTTATTGTAATTGTTCTCTAATTATTTTATCTGAAGGTAACGATGCTCAATTAAGACAGCGTACATTTCTGAAGAAGAGGAGCAAGGAAGAAATGAAAGAAAAAATTATACAGGTTATCAAAAGCTACCAGCAGCCACTATTTATTTAAACATTAAAAAAAACCCACAAACGGACGGCTGGTGTATTGTGTTATTATTTATTTGTCCCTTCGGTTCCTAGTGGAACATAGGGATTCAGTAGCACGAGTCCATTCCACTCTCCTCTCTGCAGTCTTCTCAACCTGCCTTCATCACTGCCCACTAACTTTCCATTTATTCCTCACACTACTCCTCCCCCATCTCACCCTTGCATCCAACGCTCAACTCGTCGTTTCACATGTGGGTTCCACTCGACGGCCTGGCACATGATGTCTCCAATCGGTCTTCTCAGTGTATGACCAACCCACCCATCTCCACTTTCTTCTTCTCCACATCTGTTGGACGATGGGTTCTTGGTTGGTTCGTTACCAGGTCAGACCGACTTCCTCCTTGCTTACTCTTATTATTCTGACAATCCATCTGATCCTCAGTATCGAACGTAGGCAGTTGTTCACTGTGTGTCTGTAGTTTGTTAGAAATACTTTTCGTAACTCTCCGCCAAGTCTCTCAACCATGACATAGAAGAACTGACTTACTTGACTGAATTAGTGTTGAAAATCCGCATCTCGTTCATGCTTTATTCTGGCTGAGTTCAGTGCAGTGCAGTAGATCTCCACACTAATCAACTCAGATTAGTACAGGAAGGCCTGTCTTGCTGTCTTTCCGAATCTGGCTGCTTTGACATCCTCATCTGTGCCTGTGCCGCTACCTGTAGTTGAAACGATGCTGCCCAGGTAGATGGGTAAATGAAAGAGACGACTTCCTTCAGTTCTCTCCCGTAGATGGTGATTGGTGCTTGTTGTTGATGGTTGGGTATCTTCACCACCTCCGTCTTCTCACCGTTCACTTGAAGTCCCGTACTCGCTGCCTTACGTCTTCTGTCAACTTGTTGGTTTTTGCCTGTAGATCTTCGAGTTTCTTCGACAAGACATTAGACATAAATCATCTAGGGTATTTTCATCGGTCAAACAAAACATGTCGAGCTACAAAACTATTTGTCGAAATCTGAGTTACTGGAGCAGGAATAGAATCTATGGTCCACTGAATTAAAATGGAGTTCCTAATTGTATGGGGTACAGTTTCATAATACACAGAAAATAAATAATTCTTGCCAATGAAAACATTTAACTTGACTTCTATCATGCTTTGTGAACTGAACGGTATTATAAATCCTTTGAAGCACTACAATTTAACAACCCACATGAACCGTACCGGGTAAACTGATAAGTTTGTAGGATTATGCATAACCTAACAACACCTGACCTATCCACGACGCGGAGTAACTAAAAATCTAAATATTTCTGTCTACGGTTTTCAAAGCAAGCTAAGCGACTTTGAATCAGAAGCTGCGACATAACATCACAAATCAAATCCCATTGAAAATATTACCTACCAATAAGATGGTGGACACTAATTCATAAGTCACTACAACAGAGGAGTTTGACTATCTTGATTTCTATTTTGATGAGGATTATAAATGAGTAGATTCGAGAGATGGGGGAACAGAATGAAGCAGTAATCCCGGTTTTTGATCACTTTTCGACAGATAGACATTAATATGACAATGTGGGCAGTTTTCGAATATAGTGCTTACGACATATAATGAAAATTTACATTTACCTATGCCACTCTATGAATGAATAGTGGTTTGAAAAGCGACTGGAATGTATTTACCGTTACATAGCCTTCAACAATCCGATTTCTTTACTTGTCATGGTTTATAATTATAATCAAGAGTACATCTGACGTTGTAGAAAAGTGTATGTTAGGCGAAAGAAAACGGTAAACTTACAACAATCCCGGGTAGAAGTGAACATTTCTAGTGATCTATTAATATAAAGCGTGAATTCAGTGGCTTATTGACTTATTTCATACCTCGCTGTAAACTGGTGTTAAGCAATTAGAGTTTCGACAGAAAAATAGACTTTAATAAAGCTTGATTTACAAAAGAAAAATTCGAAAAACACAATTTTCCCACCGAAAAATCATCTTCAGTAAATAGCTGTACGATCGTATCTATCATAATAACAAGCAAGCAAGCGTACTATTAGCTAATAGGTCATCGTTAGGTCGTCAAAAAGGAGAGTTCCAGACGGAAATTGTAGGGTTAGAAATAGACAATCCAGAGGATAATGTACTACGTCGTTATATATATATATATATATATATATATATATATATATATATATATATATATATGCATAGGTGATGCTCCTTTTCTCCAATGAGAAAGTTTACCTCAGTGCTGAAACCACTGTGATTCAACTACTGTAACCACTTGAAGTGAAGCGCAACTGAAATCTAAATTTTGTTGATATTTCATTGAAGAGAAGATAACGGTGACTCTCTTAGAAGGTCAACCTATAGGGGAATCAACTTAGAATGGACAGTAGACAAATTTCAAAGGTCAGAAAACACTGACCCGGTAGATGGAGCTTTTCCATTTATTCAGACAATATAATGGATGAAGAAATGCAAAATCTTCGAAAAGTACTTTTTCAGAACGGCTCGCCACCACCACTACCATCAAAATTTATTAAGAAGAACACGAGACAAAAACAGCACGAAGAACGAGTTCTCATTGATGAGTATCCAATTCAAAGGGGATAACATTGTAAAATTGCTCAAGAATCGACGGCTGATTTAAGGATATGTGAAAGAAAAATCCCCCTTCGAGCTACATGTGTCAACCAGTTTACCTGCTTCTTTAGAGCTGGGCTGTTTAGGCCACACAAAGCGCAGTCTTTCCAAACGCATCTCAAAGTACTACCGTGTTTGGTTTCCCAAAGAAAAATGCAGGTGAAGAAGAATTCAAAAAGACTGCAGATTCATCACTTACCTATAGCGAAGGTATTCGAAATTCATTTATCAAAACCCAAGCTATGCACACGAAAAAGATTCATCCAATTTCCTACTTTGACATGATCATAATCTCTCCATGACTTCCTTCATTGTTTCAACAGTCATTTTACTCTTGTTTTTACTTTGTGATTTGCTTTTCATTGCTTAGTTCTAATTTCTCACCATCTCTATACTTAACTTCGATTTTTGATTTTTAAAACCATAATAGACAAACCGGATGTAATCTCTTCTAAATCCCAGTAGCAAATTACACTTCCATCACAGAACTCTACTTTTTGATAGTCTGACGGCAACGTATTAGCCAATAATTCACTTATTTGCTTGGTATAAATATAAATACGACTGTTTAACCAGTGGACATGATTCGTCGATAAGGAAACCGTGTTTGTTGAATTACTTCTTGCTTATTTTAGTGGGCCTGTTTTGCTGTCTACTTTTCACACTTTGAAAAAACTAACTCAGAGCAAGTTCCTCGAAATTTTTTCCCATCCAGATCGCAGACCACTTTAAAACGAAGAATATCAAGTAATAATCAGTTAAATTCCTCTGGAAAAACACACAGGTAGACAGGAAAAATCAACGCAAAACCTGACATAGAAATGCATCAGTTCAAGTCACTAAACTTCACACCAACAAGCAACAAACAAGACCATAGGGAAGAAAGTAATTTTAAAATAGACAAAAGCGATTGGAGGGAAGGAGATTTAAAGCACGAAGAATAAGTAAATTCTCGAGGATGTCGAAGAGTGAATAAATCTACACCACTGTGATTAATTCTCAGTCGTATCACCAAAAGTCTCCAAATATTGATTCCTGTCGTTTTGAGCACCCCAGTAACGCTCTCTCTATCCCTCTACCGCTTTTCCCTCCCTCCCCCTCTACACACACACACACACACACACACACAATGGCTCAGATCAAAAATAAAAGACTTCATCGACTGGTGTAATGTCCTGGTCTGGTCACTCCAATCCTTCTTCCAATCAAAACTCACTTCAGCTAACATTGGACATAGGTAAGTAGTAGCTCGGTGGTATGCGTGGCACACTTCCAAGCCACCTCAGTCGGTGAAGGTTTAGAACCTCACCAACTGGCTTGCCTGTCTTGCCTAAGTACCCTTCGCATAACCTTGATATTGGTTATACGGTTACTTCACCGATACACATGAACTTTCGAGATTCAAGGTGGACCCTCTCACGCTGGTTCCTTAATCAAATGAGCTAACTGAAACGATTGGCAACAAACACTTCAGTTTCCATCACATAAGCAACTAGTAGGTAAATTAATGACAAGCGTAAGCAGTACTAGCTTACCTTAGAATCGTGGGGAACCTGAAGTTTGAATGAAACAGTTACTCCGCACCTCCCGTTTTTGATGTCCGTCTAATCGATGTCAGTCAGTAATCAAAACTATTTGTATTGCATCATTATTGTGCGGTTTCTGAATTTCTGTTGAGCTATAACACCTCACTGTAAACTATAATTCGTTTCTACAGAGCACTACAGAACATAATTAGTATCATGCTTCCTTTTGTGAAAGTAGCCTGTTTAGTCCACAACATTATTTATTACTTAATTTCCCACATACTATATAAAAAAAGGTAGTCCGGAGTAACCCAATGCTTCCTAAAAATATCCGATCAACACCAACAGGCTCCGGTGCGGCAAATTGTCTTTAAGTGAAAATATTGTTGCAATCACTACTCTTAATCCCTTAAGAACTTCACCCGTCTGACATAAAGGTGGATAATAGATATATTCAATAGACTGTTTGAATGAATTACATATACGCTTCCTTCCGTTTAAGTTCACCAAGTTGTATTCTATATGCCTCGATTGAAGCGTAATAATATTACACACTAAATGGTTTTTGCGGCGAAATCGAAGCGTATTCACGTTTCTCTACAACAACTCAAAACATGAGTAGGCTCACCTTAGTTACACTTATTGATTGAGGACCAGATTAATAATTACTTCTTGCAACACCATTTTGTAGTTAGTTTTTGTAACAAAGAAGCAATGCAAATGCCGGCAGTAAATGATATTCACTACTCATCATTTAACTGGTTTCGTTACAACCTAACCCCCCCCCCCCCCGACTGCCATTTATCACATGGCATAGATTAACTTCTAACGATCTCATCAATGTACTGAACTTTATACGTATGCACTTCTAACTAGCCTCATGTGCCTAAATGGTTCATAGTTTCACATTCCCTTGAGGATAATCCATCTCAGTTATCCATCACTGCTCCGAGACGAAGAATAAGGAATGCATCACACCTAAATAGTGAAATGAACTCAGTACCATTATTTCATTCGGGAAGATTTGAAATTACAATCTCATTAAGCAACTTAGAACTGATTATCTCAACACCTGAACAGCAATATGCAAACTGGATTCAAAGATTAAAACACACTCCTCTTTAATTTGTTCTACAGATAGAGTGGTAACAAAAACATTCTTAAGATTATCAGATTGATGCTACCACAAAGGAAATAGACACGTTACTTACTAGCAGGTGCTTTGAAGTTGAACAAATTCGTTAAATAAGTTGTGCTTAGTTTTCTGAAGATGCTGGATAATTACGATTAACTACGCGTACACAAGTTCGCAAAGATATGACATTTTTAAAAATTATCAGAGACAATAGTATACACTACTGATTCTATACTTATTCTTTAGAACACTTTGTGACTGTCTTTCTTATAGGCATAAACTATAAAGTGTGTAACACCTAGGATAACCATTCAGAATAGAAGTTACAATAATCCACTCAAAGGCTAGTCATTTTATCAGTTAAATATCTGATTGAAATCCCCTCACTATACCGAAAAAAGTAAACGTTTAAGATTTCTTCACTACCGAAAGCATTTGTAACTCTTCTATAATCAAAGAAACTGTCTAGTATTTTACTGGATCCTTATTAATAAATCAGTAAAACCAGCTAACCTAATGACCCATTGTCATCAATGAAAATGAACAGGATCTTTCGATTAATTTATAAAACAAGAAAAGCCTTTATTATATGATTGGAATCACGCTGAATAACAAAAGTATCGCACAGAAGTACATAAATCCAATCAACATAATCTCTCTGAATACAAAAATAGGACTGACAGATAGAAATGATATATGAGATAAATATGAACGGATCAAAGTCGCAATACTAAACTCTAATAGAGTGGAATATCAACCAAGGGAATCACAATAATACGAGTATTCAAGAAAACACGTCAAGAAAGGGAATACGACCATGAAATAATACAGTGTCTATGATTGAGAGGAAGAGAATTGTGGAATTTGAAGCACGTTATCTGAGGATTACAACCATTGATTTTGACTGCATAGGAACTTCAAGCGGGAAGTACCTACACTTCATACCAGCTTAAAGTTGGAGTTTTTATAGATTGATGTTATGTACTTGTGTAGATATACTCAAACTAGTTCCAGATAGGTAGTGATCAACTTGGCACGTTTGCTCCAGTTACTACTGGCTCAATTGACTCAGGTGCTCAGGTGCATCAAGTTATTTATTTCGCAGTTACCTAGTACTCTACGTCTGATACGGGCATCAAACAGTTAGTAAATCCCCGATAGTTAGTCAATGTTTCAAAGTTCAAAAGCTTGTAACGTTTGAATGTATTCCAGCTAGGAGACTTGTAATTCATTGGTTTAGGCACTCAACTTCCAAACAGTAGTATTAATCATGGGTAGTGGCTGGCAGTGGAATCCAGGAAGTGCCTTTCGTCCTATTCGGAATTCGTCAGCTAGATATAACTACCTCTCAAGGAGTGGTTGTTTCCGCTAAGACTATGCTCCTCGTACAAGGGGTGGCTGTCGTGACTCAGGAGCCTAGTTAATGACGTTCTGGTGTTGGAAGCGATCGGTTCCGGTTTCAAGTCTTAGTGAGAACAACATCACTCACTGAGAGGCAGGTACATACAGCCGACTAATGAGTCCCGAATAGGACTAAACGCGTATCCGGAATCCCACTGCTAGGCACTACCTATGATTATTATCAAAATTTGAAAATACCGGCAACACTGAGACATCTACACGGGAGCCCATAATGCCAATAATGCCCGACTAATTCGGTCCAATCAACGACGAAGATTCACAGGCTTTTCCAACTAGTAGGTCACGAGTTTTGACCTTGCAACACCTATTGAGGTTTAGGCAACTAGGGAGTATCACTAATCCTCATCTAATGAATCAGGTTAACTACCTGGTACACAAACCTGCACGTAATTCTTACGTTATATCAAATTTGGATAAGGTTTTCAAGACGTCACAAATCAGTTGCTGAAAACTCATGGTTACACAACTCGAAATTGATTACACTGGTACAAATGCAATTATTCTGTATCTTCGTTAAAATTCTGAATATTTTATGAATCTTTATTCATTTGTTCTTTCTTCTCTTCCTGATGATTTCTTCCTTGTGTGTTGTTGTGAAATATGGCGGGCAAGTTGAACACGGCAATACGTCACTTTATTTGCATTCCAGCCTTAATCGGTAACTTTCACATTCATATAATATAAATGGACGAACTTCTGCGTTATACAGTCCGTCTTTAAAACGGATATGAACATAGCAACTACACTAGAAGTAGCAAAAAGTGTACAATTCAGTTCGACTTACTTGTCAGTGCAGATCGAAAAGCACACTGACCTACAGTTTAACTAGCATTCACTAATTAATTTCAAACAGTTCCAAAACCATAAAACCAGGCGTTGCTAACTAATCACTGGATCTACGACAATCGTACTATGTCCATATGATGCGGGTATCTAGTCAAACATCACACAAAACACTATCACGACAAAATCTCACTTTCTATGCGCATGACCTTTTCAGATGAGCAAACCATACACGAATATGAACGATAACGTCAGTAGATATACTTACGATAAGCTAAAAATCAATAAGTTGAGAACACAAGTACAAACGATTGAGTCGGTGGATTCCAAAGTCATAAAAGTATTAATCATATATGTGTTTCCTTTTATCACTAAAGGTTAAGACATTTTACTCTCTCATTCAATAGCTGGAATGTAATGAGTATGACGAGGAAAGCTTAACAAATTAGCCACTAACCTGAAGCTTTGTCACCGCAAACCTTACATGGTTCCCATGACTGATTTTCATTTGATAAATTTACAGCTGTTTGAGTTATATTCATGCCAGTATTTGGTGATGTACCCAAAGTTGTACAACTATTTAAAAGCACAGAATTTGGTGATGAAGCCACATTTTCACCAGGCGGATAAAACTCTCCAACAGGAGGATTAGACTGATTGGAACACATAAAAGATGGTGTAGATGATGTGGAGGGTGGACTGGAGGCTGATGCGATAGGTTCAGGTGATATCCTTGAAGTCGGTCGGATGAAAGAATTACGAGGATTATTGCTGTTATGATTAGTATTATTACTGTTATTATTACTGTTGGGAGAGTGAAGAGATAAGAAATTTGACGCTAATGAATAGGTTGATGGAATCAACTTCTCTGAATTACAGTTAGATACATCATTATTCATAGGTCGGCACTCATTCAAACTTGTATGTTGTCCAGATTGGGTAATAGTGCCAGCAGAGTTTCTTGTGGATCCGAGTGAAGGAATGAAGGTATTTGAACCAGTATTGACACTCAACATTTGTTTGAAAAGAAGGTTCTGTAGAGCGGACGATAGACTTTCTTCAGTTGGAAGGACTGAACTGAATCCATCTGGAGTAGTCTAAAATCATGAAAACAACTTTGAGTTGAGATGAAAAAATTTAGTATGGTTCTTATACCACAGCAACATGCAAAAAGCGATTAGGTAGGAGAAGAGTGTTATTAACGTAGATCAAAGTGTTTTGAAGGGAAAGATTTCAAAGAAATGGAGACTACTCAAAATGTTCAGGCTTACAAAGACGTCAATATGACCAGTTCTTAGCCACTGATTTCTATTACCTCGAGAACACCAGTCACGATATCTACCCCTCCCTCCAAATACGATTCAGACCAACGGTCAAAAGCTTCATTGACTGGTGACAATTCCCGGTCTGATCACTCTAAGCCTTCTTCAAATTCAAACTCACTTCGTACATCGAGGTAGGCGGTGGCTCGGGGGTATGTGTGACACACGTTCAAGCCACAACCTCATCCACCGACTTGCCTGTCTTATCTAATACCCTTCCCCTAACCTCGGCAATATTCACACGTGATTCCATCATACATCAGCAATGTTGAGATAGAAAACCTGCCATCTCTTTACATCTGCTTTAATGGTTGTATCACAGCTATGTAAGAAGATACAGTAGAATCCAACGCAGTAAGCTAGTCTTTCAATAGGTAGTCAGATATCTTGTCCGCGACAGAAATGATGTAGGTAGACAACTGTCAAATGAGCCTTGCGCGTCCAAGCTAGAATTTCATCAGCAGCGAACCCATTCAGTTTGATGCAAATTCCTAAGTAAGTCAAGTGGTCAGCGGATTACCCAACTTCACTCCTTATTCTTATTACACTGGGATTAGCTGCAGACCGACACTGAAGCACTATCCTACATTTTACATGCATGAAACAATGAGTCTATCATGGTATTAGATGTAGTTAAACAGCTGCGTACGTAAGTTGAAGGTCAATAGTTTATCTCCCATAAGTGGTTCCTCAAATATTACCAAATTCTGATACAGAACTGTCACTGATAGCAGCTCCTTGATCTGATGAAGGTTTAATGTGTAAACCAATTTACACCTTATTTATACAAGTGTGCAAACCTGCTTCGTAGACACTGGTTCAAAGTTGGAACAGGTGGTATTCTGTTTCCCATATTTTTTTCACATAAGATATAAGCAACACCACAAAGGTTTCATAGAAAATATGCAACATCAATAGTACTTACTAGGTTTGCAAGATGGTTTACGATATCTGGAGGAGGGGGAGGAGGAGCAGGGGTTGCGGCCGCAGCTGCGGCCGCAGCAGCAGACAATTGGGCGAGAAAATCAAATGAAAAAGTCCCTGTAGCATTCATAGTCCCAGTATTTTCATCAGGTAAAAGTGGAGCGGAAGACAAAACATTTGGGATTCCAGATGTCTTATGATTTGACAAACTGGTTAGTTGTTGAAAGGCTTGAGTAAGTGACCCACCATCTACCATATCATTTGATAAGAGACCATGAGAAGAAGATTGATCAAATCCAGGGGGAGAAACTGTCGGATTGATGAGGGTTTCTAAAGCCTGGCGTAGATGAATGGTTGAGTTTACACCATCTAAGTCAGACGATAAGTTGCCTAAAGGATTTAACGGATTAGTAGAAGAGCTAGCTGAACAGTTGGTTGGATTTAAATTCCCTGTCCCAGAGAGGAGGGAAATTAAAGCAGCTGAATCCAATGGAGGTGCCTCCTTCTTGCACTTAACTTTCTGCTTAGCCTGCTGTGAATCAAAAACAATAGAAAAAAACAAACAAATAGAAAACAATCTTCAAGGTGAAAATAGTTTTATTGTTAGGGTACCACAAAAAAACGAGAAAACAAACAAACCTATGGAGAGTTTAATTTCACTTTAATCCTAATTCTTTAATCACGATGACCAGGAAGAAAGACCATACATACTTCGTCTGCACTCTTCATGAAATAAAGACAAATATTTATTGATTAAAAAACCCTCGAGTTTTATGAATATGTAAACTGTAGCCACTTTATCATCGAAAGAATAGTGTACAACTATAATCACCTCAGGAATATGATTCCCTACAGCTCAAATAATTTTATTCATAGTTGTACCGACTAGTACTAGCGTTAGGGATGCCTATATCCTTTATATTCCATACGTACAATTTGTATATATTTGAACTGTTTTAATTCATGCTCTTTTCCCGTGTATGGATCATATTTCTTATGAACCGCTAGTGTCCTGATTGACTCCTCTCTTTAAATGTGCTAATTATTCCTTATTTTTAAAGGTTACTGTAAACTCTGTAAATAGGGTCCGTTTTCACTAATAAACGTTTTCAGTCCAAGATACTATAAAAACATCTGATTTTCAGTCTTTTGATTTCTTTCAGGTTGAGTTGTCTCAACCCTCGACTATCAATCGTTACCTATTTTCGTTCGTCCTCACAACTCCGCATCATAACAACTAGTGTTTAAACAACCAAGTAGCCATGTGAAACGATAAATATAAATGGTTTGAACACCTCAAACCTGCATATCGACTAATCACATATTATGTTCGGTGTTATCATTATGAATTCAAGTATAATATACGAAATATAAACAAGTGATAACCATTTTCACTCTATTCAGTCTGTATCACATTACTATGCAATTTGTATCAACCTCTAATTGAGTTAAAGCTTATGGTCATAAGGTTGCTAGTAGATGTTGATTGGCACTCCACAACACCTTTCTATGACCTACAACAAATTGCATTTTAAACAGGAGATGGGTAAGCATGGCAACAAGTATGAATGAAACTGATTACTTGTGACTTTTGTTGAACTAAAGAAAAAGCGCCTAAATGAATGAGATTTAGTGGAATTTTATGAGGATAACCAGACCCCAAGTTTGAGCAAATACTTTAGAAATCATTTTAACAGAGTATGTGGAACTACGTAAACTGAAAAATAGTAGAAAAAAGAAATTATGTGATGATCATATGTCAGCATATTATGCATAGTAAGTAAACAAAGATTACAAATTGTACGTACATAAAGTGGAGGGCAGTGTCTGAGTCACACATGATCAGTGATCATTTTGTTATCCGTAGGCAGTAAGCAAGACAAAATGACCAAAAATGACGTCGTTTGATACGTATCATAACCATACTATATCACTTTATATATTCGTATGAGTTACATTTTACACATCTCAGTTGGATGGAGAAGGAAGTTCTGATTGACTTAGGTTTCGTGCTTATTGGCACTCGTCAGTAAGGCGCATCTGCAGCCTTGAGGGGAATGATATCGCCTCAGAGATTAAAACTCACGTTTACCAGTCAGTGTATCCAACCTAGTCCTGCAGGAGATCAATCAAAAATGAGACTGACTGAATATATTGATTGGTCACTGAGGAGTAACCGAGTTCACGTAGTCTACTCCTCAATGCTAACAGAGTTTTATCGATTATTGTGTAATGAGGTTGCAAATAAGTCTTTCTGACGAATGCTAACAAGGAAGAAACCTAGATCCATGGTTCTATGTTAACTGAATCCAAACTAAGTAACATCAATCAAAGTGAAATGTGATGACTCTCCTAGTTTGATGACTACATTGTAAAATGATTGACGATTCAGTGAGCACTCGCGAGAAGATATCAACCAGACGTTGATGGTGACTGGTTAACTAGATAACATGGCACTATTTATTCTCCAGTGACTAGACAAAATATAAACTTTTTTAAACAAAGAAAGAAAAGATGGGGAATCGTGTTGACGCAGGAAATCACATTGTACGCACTCAGTGAAGACATGCTTGCTATTTCTCAGATAGACAATTGTTAAATAAAAATCAATAATAACAATGATATTGATCAAGTAACATAAGTATTCATTGATACAACTTTAGATACTACGAGTTCACAAGAATCATGTCTCCTGTGTGCATAGTCAAAACTAAAATGCATGATCGGAAATCAACGTACCATCACTGTAGGAAACTACATTTGAGAATTATATCAGGAGACAACAAATGCATGCTGCTAAAGATATTTAAGATAGTATGAAAAGTTTATTCAGGATTTCATCATATCCAATGTCTGTAATGAAAACAGAACCTCTGTCAGATACAAGAAGGTACAATAAAAGAAAACTCATTTTAAAAATGAACTGCTTTGACGAAATACCCAGCTACTAGGGACTGGAACTAACTGCTAACAGTTTAAAGACTCTCCTTTAAGGTGTATGGTAGTACTGGGAAAAAATCATCGACACAGCATTTGTTTATTAAGGTACTAAATTGATACTGGGTGTTGATTGAAGATGAAATGAAAATTTGGACCGCGGCCGGATTCGAACCAGCGACCACTGGGTTTCCGGCTCAGTGCTCTACTAATTGACCTAGGAGGCTCGACTGACGACTAAATTTTTATTTTATTTCAATCACCAAGGGTTTCACCCCACTACCATGTGGATTCCTGACGCTCAATCGTACTACTCACATTGGCTTCTCAGTCAGGACTTGTCATCCCATTCCAAATCTAGCTGAATTAGAGAGGGGAAGCATCATATTGACAATCATTTTGACTATCTGAGACAGTTGTGGTTTGGCAGACTTGTATTGATACTGAGTAATGACTGGATTTAAACTAGCCTGCAGCGGCCCAGATTCCCATTTCATCTGCAATTATTACCCAATATCAATACTAGTCTGCCAAACCACGGCAGATGATCTCAGATGATCAAAATGATAATGTAATAAATTATTAACACCTTGATAGGAAAACGTTATATAATTTGAAAGACTGAACAGTCAATCGCTTATCTTATAATCCCTTCGTATGTATACATGTGTACATCAAAAACAAACAAAACAGCAAAAAATATTAATCTGACCTGTTATTGATTTGGAATATTGATTAGTAAAAGTAGAAAAATGAATGATTTGACTGCTCGTTTTTCTATTTCTTCCACCTTTTCTTATCCTTACTAATCGTCCAGTCGGTTCCACAAATACATAACACATAAACAGACGTACAAAGAAGCCTTAGTTTATTTTGAAAAATAGATTGAACAAAGAACAATGAAAAACAGTAGTGGTAGTAATAATAATAATCAACGATATTATGGTCACTGTTATGTTGTTGATATTAAGATCAACACCATTGAATGGTAGGTGATAGCAATAATCATGACAACAGACACAAAGTGGCCTTTTGACCAAGGTTTGAAAGAAACAAAGAAAGCATACATATTACGCATACATAAATAATAAACTTATCAATATATATATATATATATATATATATATATATATATATATATATATATATATATATATATATATAAATAGCAAATAAACAGACTTATAGACTAGCCCAACAACAAAAACACCAAAATATAATATGACCGCAGAAGGAAGAATATCAAGAACAAGCTTGATACAAAGTCAGATATACACGACTCAGACTGTTCGATTTTCGCCCTGCAAGCTAAAAGTATAACAATACACGCATACACCTAGGGGTACACATACATATGAACACAGTTACTTAACTGAATAACAAAATTCAGACAAAAAATAGTGAACATAATAAAGAAGGAAAATAAAACTCATTTTTGGAAAGTTTACAGACTCTTCCTCTTTCTCTTGACACTTATGAAATAGTAAAGATAATAGTTAACAACAACAGCAGAGAGTTCACAGTTTTTAGCTACAGAGTTGAGTGGTACAATCGACAGTCTCTTAGGTGTCATTTGTTACTTAAAACTTTCAGATAGGTCTTTCTATTGAACGCCAGAAGACATAAATCTCAAGTTCAAAACTGTCTGATGAATATAACGGTTCATACTGAACTCCTTGACTAATGTGAGTCGATCAGTTTAGAAAATTGAAATGTCGGTTTTCATGTCTGTCGAACACGTAAGAATTTTTGTACCTGAAACTAGTGTTTGCTAAACAGTCTTTGATAATTCTTTTACATCTATTTGATTTGAACATGAAAGATGCAGTGAATATTTAGAACACTAAATAACGCGTAATGCATAAGTCGAGTATTTCCCCGACAAACTGATCAAATATATCAAAAAAGAATGACACAGAACACTAATTCATACATTTTGTTTCCAATTCAATATCAAACAGACAAGGTATTTTTCGATGACGCTATTAGAAGACGAAGATTATCTGAAAAATGTGATGTATTTGCGCAATACATTTCGAACAATCTTATCACACATGTACTTGTCAAGTCAATGTGTATATGAAAATCAAGGGTCAAATATAATGAATATGAAAAGGTTGTGACACTAGTCTTGGTATTATAATCAGATAAGGATTACCAAGGTAAGTTTACGAATGGCTAACGCTTCGGCAAACTTCAGTATGCGCCTCTGATTATTCAGACTGTTCGAAATGTATTGAGCAAATACATCACATTTTTCAGATAATCTTCGTCTTCTAATAGCGTTATCGAAATTTACTAAAGGGACTAATTGTTTCAGGCACGGTATTATCGATCTTGTTCATCTGTATATGAAAGCCAAAGGATTCACTTGTAAGGCTGGAAGGCTTACAATAAAAGAACACTGATTGGTCGTGATCTGTGTTGAATATAACTTATTGTGCAATAGAAGGTATCTGGAATACGTTTTTGCTACAATTTTGTCTAGCTGCAATTGACTTAAGTAAGTGATTGGACTTATTCAGTACTAAAGGTGACCTTGAATGTGATTGGTCTCGAATATGTCTGCTCTGTCTCGTATACTTAATTCACTCA